GCAAAATCGATTAAAATATCGGCAACAAAATCGATAAAAATATCGATAACAAAACCAAACAGATCCACATTAACTGAAACTTTCATATGTACGTATATATGCATTTACATATGTACATACGCTGCGATCAAAAGCCGCATTACATACGCATACATACTTTTTGTCTCCTTCCCACACTTCCAACATATGCACGTGTTTGCAAAATGATGACGAGGTGATTTTGTATGGAAAATCATTTATGCCCATATATTTGAATAAAATAAACATATATAGAAGATATCAACCAATACTTCCCATATACCAAACGAAAGGAAAACTCTTGAATTTTTGATTAAAGAAAACAAAACCAAAATCATTTGAGCGGTTTTCGAGCATTTTGGTAATGAAAAAAATTTGCAAATTTTTTCAACAATTTTTTGCCTTAAAATGCTCAATATTTGTTAAATTTATATAAAATTTGTACCCGATAATATTTCTACTGCTCCAAAGAACCTATATCCCGAAAATGAAAGTTATATATGCCAACAATAAGTTGCTAGAGCACTTTAAAGGCTCAAAATTGACCCCAAAATAAGGCAATGTTTACCGTTGTTTTTACGACAGAAACCGAATTGGTTATTTACAAAAATGAATCTGTCGACAGGTTTGGAATTTTATCTTTGAAACGCCACACTTTTCTTTGAAATCGCTTTATTAGTTCTCGTGCAATAAGCGTTTTTGTGAAGCTCTAAAAATTACAACTACAACATTTGAACATAGCCCCCATACCTTAAGGTAAGACGTATTCTACGTCAAAAAATTAAGTAGATTTCGATGCATAAATCAACTTGGGAATTTATCTCCAATTAATGCAACAATTTTTGGTTTCATGATTATATTCTCTAACTAGAAAACTAGGCAAGGACAAGGGATGACGGAAATCCGTTCCACAATACATTAGAACATAACGGTTACACCTGTTTTTGTATTAATTGGGTTGATTATGTGCCACCCACAAGCAGTTGTATTTTCGGATCTGATCTTTGAGTTGTACCTCTTTTGAAAATGGTGTGCGATATGAACACAATTTTGCTACGCATAAATTGCTGATGTGTCTTAGCCGTTTTTATCGGATTCTATTTGAATGTGAATATTCGTTCTGTACCACTTTTACGAACATTTTGTTTCAGCAAATCCTCAGAATTGCTACGAGTAGGTGTATTTAAAGCATATGCTACGATCATAGCTATAGTTCAGTGATAGCATAAGCGTAGACAAATCGGACTACGATGGATTCAGTACACGTAAGTGGACATGGATCACCTATACCCTCTGAAGCCGCACACAAAAAATATCGATTCTCTGCACTAAGGACGAAGCATTTCTTGGAGAAAAGCCAGATACATGGGTAGGTAGATAGAGCTTGGCAGCGCTTTATGGTTTAAGTGTATTTGAACGTTCTGTATTAAAGAATTTTTATAAGTAAAGGGCATATGTACATATATAAATATTGCTGAATCCACCGTAGACTCTATGTTCGAAAGATCTGCGAATATCCCTTAAATATAGTAGTTTGCATATCGTTACCTTAATTCAAAAATGCCCTAACCAACACTTTTTTCGAAATTGTGGTTCGCACAGATTTTGGTACGATTCTTAAAATACACCTCCAACAAATTTAAAGTGTTAGTATCAAAAATATGGGAGTTGTACCAATTTTTTAAAAGCCCTAACTTTAGTTTTGTATATACTTTTTATGTTTTATGTTTCCTCTGTTAAATAAAAAATTTTCTGGGACTGATGTGATAGTCTGACAGACACCGAAGGTTCGACAACAAAATCGAAAACCGAAGAAAAACTTCACAATTTCACTGTCCGACATAGCAATTCACATTAACTGCACACATCAACTTAATGAAAGGTTATTGCAAACCAAAAGAACAAAGCTTAATCCTGTGACCAAATCTTTAGTTTATTTGCGACTTTCCGTATTTAAGAATTACATAGACACAATATCGGAAAACAGTAAACGTTTAAATTCATTTGCTGAAATCTTCGAAATACATATCACTATATTCATACTTTGTTCTAACTTTTTATCTGAGTCGGTTTATTTATCGAAATGAAGCATTTAGTTTTTCTTCTCAATATAGTTTGTATAAAAATCAAGACGGCCACCTTGTTAGCCACAGCCAAGTTGGCAGTCACTAAAGCATTTATAAATAAAATGTGAAAACATAACTAAATTGCCTAAAAGAGATATCGTGATTTGTTGTTTGTTGTTGCTACTTCTGCTGCTGCTTTTTCCCCAATGTATTTGTTTGCTATTAACCATTTTAATGGGCCATGAGGTTATTGTTTTGCTACTTAGGATACAATAAAACTGCAACGCCTTACAAAAACAAAAATCCCTCAAGCTTTACCATATATCTGAGATAGACAATCCAAAGCCAAAAGTTTGCTTAATGCTTTGCCAATAATATCGATGCCAGTTGGCGCGCATTGCATCAAATTCGGATGCAGGAATGCCCGTTTGTTTAAGCTTCATTTGGGTGGTGTTTTTCTGCAAAGCCAAATTGGCATTATGTATTAAGTGTCCTCGGAAAAAAATGCTATAACCATAACAAGGGAAAATTAACTTACCGCTTCCTCTAATTCTATCACAACCTCAGAGTAGTGTCCAGAAGGCCAATTTTTAAGTCTCCAAGATTGTATTATTCTTTTCTCTGGTACCAGCTCTTCAAATTTTCCACGCACATTGCCGCCGTACAAAACGAATCTGTAATGTATAATTTTTTGTTATACTTCCTTTGTATGTACCAAAACCTTAGTATCTACTTACTCGCCGCCACGAGAAGCATCTGACTTAGCTGGTGCACGTGTGAAAGCTGTTAACATTTCTTCTTTTGTTAACGCATTGTATAAATCGTTTGCACAACAGTTGAACTCTTCAGTTATTTTCAATGTTTTCACGTCCAGCTTACAGCCAACGTTATTGGTGTTATCACTAGATTTCACTGAATTTACATTATTTAGTAAATTATTTTCTGCTGAAATACTAGATCCAGGTTGCTTAGCCTTTGGTGTGACGGTGGTATTTTCTTCACCCTTCTTTGGAAGTATCAAATTTTTAGAATATTCTTCTTTTAACTCTTTAATATACAACTCCAACTGTTTTCGAATAACATCTCGTCCAATATTATACATGAACTGTTTCAAGTTCTCCGACTCATCGTTGGATTCGTCAATTGTAATGGTTATCTCAATGTCACCAATGTCGTTCTCCTCCGACAAATTCGGAATAGTTATTTTGCCTTTGTGCTCTAGTTTACTATTTTTCAATAATTTACCCGTCCACTTAAGTACCAATTTCCATTCATAGAAAAATATAAGTTTCCCCTTGCGATTGTTAACCGTGGCCTCACCACTACAATCATCAATCTTATCCACAACACATTCGATACCCTCCTTCTCTGTAACATTTAACATTAATGAGTTCGTTCATCATTCCAACAAAGTTCTGAATGAAAGTACATTTGGAATTGACTTACCAATTTTGAGACCTTTCAATAATTGTGCCAAACGCTCCTTGGACCATGGCGTTGCGTTTTTCTCAGTCCAATGCCAATTGTTGACATTCGTTGCGTCAGGTCGTTCTTCAACAATCCAACGTGGATCACCTTCACCCCACTTTGCCATTTCGATTTATTTATTATAAAAAGAGTTAAATTTGTTAAACGCTAATTATTTTACAAATTAAAAACCAAATTTTAGATTTTACGAAATTCGCTGGGCAATCAATCCACTATGAAATCACGTTCCGTACGGTTGACAAGAGAAATGAAAATCGAGAATATTCGCGTATAAACTGACAGCTGTTCGAGGATGCCGGATCGTTTGTGATGTAGAAATTATTATAAATGGATATCCGTACGTCACGAAAGCGAATTCAATCGAATATTAAATAATAAGTTTAGTAATACATATCAACACTACACTTTTTGACTAGGTATTAGACAAAACCAATTTTTTTCCCCGTTTTTCGAAGTTAGCCTCCGATATCGAGATATGGGCCTTCGAAGTTTGAAATAAGAGCTTCGGTAAAAAATTTAGTTTTAAGTATTGCTTGTAAATAACTTAAAATGTAAAAAATTAGACGTAGTCCGCCTTTGCTCTTATTTAAACGGTATGCAACTTTTTTT